CTCATCTAAGTACCCTTGTACACATGAACCAAAGTGTCTTCCAGGGATATACTTAGAAGCGGAATTCATTCATTTGGTTCTGCAACATGTATTTATTGAGTGGCTATTACAAGGTAGACACGGCTCTAGGCTGAGAATGAGTAAAATGGATAAAATTCTTACACTCAAGAATTTTGCATTTTAGTGAAGGATCTAGATGATAATAATAAAAAATTAAACAATATTATTTGTATATATTTACATATGGAGGAACAATGCACATATTGTCAGATTTTTTTTCATATTGTTAATCTGGTGGTGCCATGTGATACCTCATTGTTGACTAGAATCATTAATAACAGTACTCCTGGGCTAAGCCCTCTGATCTTAATTTTACTCTGAAGGTACTGAATATTCATAAGCTATTGGCTAGCAGTGCTGTTGCTACATTTTCCTAACCAAAGTAATCAATAAATGGGATATACCATGTACTGATAACCTTACTGACAAAAGCACATCGATGGCTTGCTTTTGTTCTTAGAGTCTTTGAGGATACAGAAATTTCTACAGATAGAGCTGCACAGATTTGATATGGATAATCTTATTAGACTTTTCTTTCACTCATTAAGCTTATTGGTAGATTTTAGATATACAATATGATGACGTCAATCACTGGGAATTTGTGCCTTCACATGATATATCTTGGATCTTGTTTTACCCATCCCCCCATCCGCCCCTTATTTCCAAAGACTTCATTTCTGTTGTTTCCTTTTTTCATACCTATTCCTTACTGTCTTTTCTCTCCCCTCCCCTTCCCAAACCCCTCCCCTTCCCTTCCTTTTCTCCTTTGATCAAAGTCTTGCTAATATAAATTAATTGGAAGCATTGGAGGTGCTGGCTTCTGATTATAAAGAAAGAGAATTTAATTATTTTAATTAAATATATTAAATAAAATTTTACAAATAGGGAAGGGTGAAGGAGGAGATGGGAGGGCAGGGGTGTTGGAAAAAAATAAGAGCCAAGACATATCATGCAAAGGTACCAGATCCTAGTGATAAATGTGACTGTATTGTTTGCTTTAAATGTACCAATAAACTTAATGGGAAAAATTTTTTACAAGACTAATAATGATGACCAAATAGGCATCTTGTGATCTGTTATGACTAACTGCATTTAGAATATTAAAGCACATGTTTGGACTACTGATGGAATTTACTTACTGAATTAGGTGGGTGTTTAAAAATGTTTTATCTGTTTTCCTTTTGAGTATATACACATTTATGCTGTAATGTAATAGGAATATAGGGATGTATTTGGACCACTGTCTGTAAGTGGAAATGCTTTATTTTATTTGTAGTTATTTGTCAGAGAGTTATTCATCCCCCTTTAAAAAAACTTTTTCAGGGGGGTTTATGTTGATTTACCATTATCAACACTGAAAAAAGAGGAGAATAACTATGAGGGATTATGGCTTTTTCATATAGAAAAGTATTCCGGAAATTGTTATGCTTCCACTGTCTTTGAAAATGTTTGGAGTATAAATTCCATGCCTCCTAGATTTTAAAATGTGAGAGTTCCACTCATTTCCGTGTCTGGAGCCAGACACAGCTACTACCACAGCAGCAGCAGCACAAAGTCCTCCCACTGACCACAGCAGGTTCAGGAGTCAGAAGATGTGAATTATTTCAGTCTCTGTGACCAACTGATTGTTATGAGGATACTTGGCACGTCGTTTTACGCTTGTCTATCTCAGTTTTCTTAAAAGTAAGTGGTTTAAAATATACAGTTGCTATAATGAACTATTTTTGGCAGTCTAAAGTGAAACTGTAAGGACATCAGAAGTAATTGTGCACTAAAAATTTTCACAGTTGTTTTTGAATCAACCCACAAAAGTTGAGAGTAGAGAGAACAGAGAAGGTAAACAGATCTTTATGCTCTTCTGAAGTACTGCATGAAAGATATGGAACATTAGGACAAAATTAGAGAAGCGTGATTTCTGACTTGCTTTTTAATGCAATCATTCAAGTGGTTATAAATAATGTGCAGATCATTCCAATATTATCTACGTATATTCAGTTATTTTACACAACTTTTCTTTCATCAGCTTTGCCCTCTTTTGTTGAGATTTCGCTGGGTATGCAAGAATAGAGGGAAATCGATTTTTTTCTGCTTTATTTGTGGTTATGACTGGTATATTTACAACATATGAGGGTGAGGGGAATATACATGAGTATAAATGCCTTGAAATATCTGACCTGGCTTCTCCCTACTGTTTCCCTCACTCCTCTTCTTGACTGGGGCTATTTTTTCTACTTATTAGTTTGGCTATGCCCAGGTTTCTAGAACAAGCAATATCTACTTAAGGTAAATTGAAGGGTCTCTGGCTAGCAGCTTTGTAGTCTACCCAGGTGAACATAGCAACTTGTTTCCCTATTCTGGACCCAGCACAAATATAGTCACTAACATCTTTCCTGGTTTCCTTAGAGCTGAGTCCCTACTTACTGCTTTGTTCTTGTGTCCTTCTGGAGCTGCGGTCCTGCTCTCACTTGTCTAAATCTCGAAGGGTCAGATTTTCTCCTGTGCCACAGTCTTTACATATGGAACCTGAGACCTGCTGCTGTACTTGCCTATGCTGCATCCCTTTAAGTACCCCAAAACCTGTCCACTGACCAGCCACCCAGCTCCTTTGCATACGCCGTTTCCAAGCACAGCTGCCAGCTCTTTACAAGTCTCTCCAAATAGCAACAAGTACTTCTTGGGCCTTCGCTTATTTGCTTCAGATTTCCCTGAATGCCTCAACTCTCCATAAGTCTGTTTGCTGCTTCTGGGGGGCCCTGGGAGAAGGCGTTCCAGTATAAGAGGCTTCTCCAGTGTCTGCCTGCTGGTTTCCAGGAACTAATGTAGCGTTCATTACATTCTAATGTCCCAGCACAGGATCTTTTTCTTAAATGTTTTCCTCCTTTTACAACATTTCCTTCAAAAATTTTGACTGTCACACATCTCATGTGGCCAAAAGAGTTCAACATAATTAGGCATTTCTTACACATGGAAATATGTGGCCCAGATGACAGATATAAAAAGAAAAGAAAAAAGTACAAACTTCAATGTGTATTTACATTTCCCCTTTCTAAACAAAACGAAAACGAGGATACAAAAATGGCTGGCTAATTTTAAACAACGGAGCATTATATCAAAAATTTAATTCTAGTAAGAAATAATTGCAATTTTTAATCAATATTGGTCATGGACTTGGGTACACTAGGAGATGACAAGATAAATTACTTAAGCTAATCAAACTGTAGCTATTAACTAAATTAACTACTCCAGGCTCCCACCAGGGAAAAAAGGAGCCAAAGCATGATTTTGAGTGATGCTTAGAATTGCAAAATGGTTAATTTGAGTATAAGGGTGAATTTTAATAGAGAAATTATGGTCTGCTCACTTGAATTGATCCTTCAACTCAAAATAGGTTACTTTTTGTCATTTTTGAAAGGTTATAGTGTACTTACACTGGAAATACATTTGGAAGAGGGCTATTTTGGAAATAAATATACATGAAGCCATATTTTATTTGAAACGCTGGGGAACTGCTTTGCAGGACATGTCAGTAAATGATTTGTTCCCGAGAAGAGTGAGTTTTTAAAAAATGTAAATAGAATCTCAAAGAAATAATTTCATTCCCATCACAGGAAAAATAATAGGAAAATAAAATTCTTACGGAAAGCATAAAGATGGACTTTATAATGACAGAATTACATGAACATATTAAGAAGTTTTATACCGCCCCCTGCTGCCAATTTCTAAAAGAAATAATGGAAAAAATGACTGCAAACCGACAAGGCGAATGAGTTGAACAAATTGCTTGGGAAAAAAGGCTGCCTTTATTGAAACCACTTTTCAGCCAGCAATGCTAATGCTTACTTCATGTTTTGTGGGCAGTAATTTGTGAAACGAAGAAACCAACACTACCCAATTGTGTGTTAGCAACACCAGGTGAAATGTATAGTTTGTGCTTTGTGACATATTGTGAATTTTAAAATTACCAGTGTATAAATTTTTATCCGGTGGTATCTAATTTACTACATTTGCAAATTAAACTATTTTATACTTGCTTTTAAATATTTATACAATTTAGTTAAAACATTCATTTTAATAATAGCAAAACCTTTTGCAATGAATGAATGAATGCTTATTTCTGTAGTATAACCCTGACAAAATGCACCTGAAATCACGAAATGAGAAATAATGAAGCTATTGGGTAATACTAATGCAGTGACGTCACAAATTAAAGGTGGAGTCGCCATAGGGAACTCCACAGCATGATTCCCAGTCCCGCCCTTTAACCTTTTTGTTCAGCAGAAGGTATAAAACCCACAACTAATGAGGGAAAGTTACAGATGTTATAACAGACAGTGCTGTGAGACAGCAAGGGTGCACTCCTATTTTATTTCACCTGCTCTCCAAGGTCCAGAGCCTGTGCGTAAATACTGGGACCTCTGGTGCTTCCAGCTTGGTTTCTCTTTCCTTGTTAGAAAATCCCATCATTGGTTGTATCAAAATGGAGGTGTGCACATGTACTTGTCTTGCCTGACGAAGTGCCAGTGTAGTTCATACTCTAGTGTACCGCAATATCCTCTTATGCCTGGCCTCTGCCCACCCTTGAGATGCAATTTCCTACCTCCTGACAGCTTCCAACCATCTTCCGCAGCTCATATTCACATCTGCACATCAGCTTCCTGTGTTAAGGTGCCCTGGTCGTTATTAATTCTGGAGTCCCCCATAACAACCAGATTGTGTTCATTGTTGCCTGTCACATCCTTTGTTTTCTCCGCAATGACAGAAATAGCCTGCCAGGGATATTAGCACTAAGAGGATTTTTCAAGTTGACATGCTTTTTGACCTTGTGGGTACTCGATAAAACTATCTCAGTGACCAGAGGGCTAACTACACAGGAAGTCTTTACACCTCTCCCATTCAAAAAACAGCAAAATCTTTTGAAATTCATAATACAAAGGTCTTACCTGATTCTAGGAGTTGGGTTCCCAGTGACTCTACACTCCAAATAAACGCGACTTCCTTCCTCGACCTCTTGGCTCCTCAGCTTCTGGATGAACCGAGGCGCGGTCTGGAAATGGGGGGCCTTCAGGGGTTGCGGGTGAGAGGCGCTACTGCACCGTGGCCTCGCCACGGGCTGGTCAGCCTGGTAGCAGTGCATGGCCTCAGGCCGCTTGACCTCTGCTTCCATCTCTTGATGGTCTTCTGTGGGGCTCTGGCTGGCCGAGGTACTCCTCAGGTTCGATGGCTGATTTTTAGGAGACAGATACCCACTGTCTGGTGATGACAACTCCCCGTTTGGGCTCCTGCTTCTTGGTTTTACTCCTCTAAATATGGATGTCAGCTCCTCGATAAAATTAGCCGCCTTGTCACACAGCTCACTCTGAGGACCAGCCTTGCTTTGATGTGCCGGTTTGGGCTTCTCATTTGTATTGAGAGTTTTTGCGCCCCTTTTGCCAGCCTTTCGGAGGCTTCGGATATAACTGGGCCTGGCAAACTGGGGAGACACAGCAGATTTCCTCCTTGAAGCAGGTGAAGTGATTCTCTCATTTGGTTTTTCTGCCGGAAGCTGGATAGATGTTAGTTTATTATTCTGAAGTCTTCCTGAAGAGATTTGCTCACCCAGCTTGGTCTCCTTGTGGGAAGGATTTTCACAGACGCAGACAGGAGAGGAGTTGAAAATCTGTGAGATCTCCTTCTCTGAGTCAAAATCCTCTGTTTCAGAGTTGGCTATAGCTCTCCGGGCCAGGTCAAGGCTCTTGTTTATCTCTTCCTGGCTAAGAAAAGCCGACAGTCCCGGGAAGAAGTCAGCATTCTTGCTTTCTTCCTGCATGTCTGATAAGGAATCGTAGAAGGAGTCGTGGGAGGAAGTCTCTGACATTTTTGAATGGTTTTCATACACACTTGTTTTCAACAGAAAGCCAGAGGCCCTGAAACCTGTTTTCTTCTTGTGTTCTGAAAGACAACATAGAATTATTAGTAGTAATGGTTTTCCCCTATTTTTTCATAACACTACAAATCTACCAATTGAGAGAAACATCAAAGAGAACAAATATATCAGTTTTTTCATTCTGTGTGTTGGAAGAAATGTCAGGTATATTTGTATTTATCACTTATAATTTTAATGTAATATTTGCCCTATAGGTGAATATCCAATGTCTCACTAACCAGTACTGAGTAATTCAAGTAGGTGTTACCTAGAGCAAGTGTGATTAGCATAGCGAGGCGCTCAGAACTTCTTGTAGTCTCCTTCCTATCCACACACCTCATCGAAGCTCCTACTTCACTCAAGTTATAAGATTGCCAGCACGTTGATATTTTTAGTAAACCTGACTTTGCTTATCTAACCCGAAAACATCAAATATATTTAAAATATTCCAGTTTGATTTGCTTTTGGTTTTCAGTAAAATATTTGAAACTTGACGGTCCCATCCTTTCCCTGGGTGCTGTCATTCTCATTCATATTCATTCATTCAACATGATTCCAACAGACAGTAAGTTTATTGAGTTTCAGGCGCAGGAGAGGCAGCTGTGCTCCAGACCAAGGATTTGCAAACTTTTCCGCTGAGGGTCAGAGAGTTAACTAATTAATTTTTACTTTGCTGCCATTGTAACTACCTAAGTTGCCATGGTAGTATGAAATCAACCACGTGAATCAGCACAATGTGTGCCAATAAAATGTTACTTGTCTTCATTTGATTTTTACAACAGTGTAAAATTTTAAAAAAGAAAGAAAAACAAAACAAATTCCCCAAACCTGTTACATTTGCAGGCTGTACAAAATATGCAGTTGGGTGGATGGTTCCAGAAGATGAAATTTACTGACTGTTGATCCAGAATAATGACACAATCCTTACATTCATGGAGTTAAAAGTCATGTGGGGCAGTGACATGAAGGAGATGGAAAAGACATTACACAAATGTTATAGAAATAATATAAAAGTTTGATAGGACCCTAAGGAAAGTGAAAAGTGTCTGGCCTAATCTAACCTTCAAGGACAAGTGCAAGAATTGGGGGTTTTGCCTAGGACACTAAATGGGAATACCATAAAAATTAAAAGGTGTTTCATCATTTATAAAACAATTAGGCATTGATTTAAATTCTACTGTTCTTTGAATTATATATTGGGAGGTAATGACATCTCATTGTTCCAAGTGTACTTTTCTTTTTCTATATATTATTTGTCGGATAATAGGAGAAACGATCTAGCAAACTTAAGAATTGTTCTTTGCCTCAAGATTGGTTCTAACAGTCAGTGAAGGAAGCTATCTAGGTATGGTGATGCTCAACTTTATAGGCTGTGTCAGGAGTAAACTCCATGAGACTTTCCTTAGGTAGCTGCGTCTCACGAGGTCCAAATTGGGTTGGTTGTTTTGAAGCAGCTTACCTTCCAGGAAATTCACTGATTTCAAAGAATATTATGAGATTTAAAGGAGCATCTAGAAATCTATCTCAAGAATATACCACCACATAGGATGCAACGATTCATAGAATCTGTTAATTCAACTGAAGATATTTAATCAGAGATCCTATAGTTTAATATCAACCTACTGTGTCTTCTTTAGTTGAATGCTGTACTGTTGTCCTCAATGTTTTTTTAGGAAAATTATTTTGTTGTGCTTGAATTCCAAGTTTTCCCCATGCTAATCCTATTCTGCCTGCTAAGGTAGGCACTATTCTCCTCACAGTTTTGCACAATGCTTCTAGTAAATCCTGTAAGTCCACTGGAATGGTCTGATTATTGGTGCCCCTTTGTGAACCAAAATATTACTGTAATTCCTTTGGGCTTCAGTATGTAGCTATCTTAATTATTAAAATAATCAGAATTGTTTATGGAAAAAAGTTGTAGTCAGTATATTTTGAATTATTGAATATGTTTTGCTCCTGAGAAACAAGCATTAAAAGGTTAATTTTGAAAAGGAAAAATCACAGCAACTATAAAATAGTAGAAAATGAATATACATTCAAGATTTTATTTAACTAATTAGTGTCAAAGTGAATAACATTTTACAACACTTTCAAAGACTGTTCTAAAGACCAGATGCATATGTGGGCAATTAGGAAAGCTAAAATGAATTGGCTAGTTGGTTTGGAACTGAATATACCTAGAAAAATAGAATAGGGCATTAGAAGTAATTTATGCAATGTATTACTAGAAAAAATACTTTGTCTATAAGTTATAACTTGCATTCCTGTAAGATTTCTACAACTTACAAAGTTGTCAAATGACCTTGTTAAAGACAATGAACAAATGGTACAGATCCCTACAGAATAAGAAGACCCTGGAAGACGCCTCCAGAGACTATCCAGCACTTCTTTGAAAGGACAGCCAGTATTACTTTATCTATTTAAAAGTTATTCATGGCTTATTCCAAGAAGACAGGTTTTTTTTCCTCAGCACAACAGCAAACATGGAAGATAACGTGTAGAAGCCCGGGTCAGGCTTGGGACCAGCTCCTGGAGTTTGGGAAGAGAAGAGATACTAGGTACTGTAAACCTGGAAGAGACATAAGGATGAGAAGGGAAAGAGTCTTGGACTAAAAGTATGTTTGTGTACTGAAGGAAAACAGATCATATTTTCATTTCCTGAAAAGTTCATTTTTCCTTGGGAGACAAACCACTTGTTTTTTGTTTTGAGAGAAATTCAGTTATGCATTGAGCTCAGTGCAGAAAGAGATTTTGTGGCTACCACACCTAGAGAAGGGGAATCTGATAATCCAAGCAGAAAACTTTGGTTCTTGATATGAATAACTTGAAGCATAATCTGAGATAATTGTCCTGCACACAAAAGGATTACACATTCCAAATGTGTTTAAGGTAGAGCGACTACATGCCCAGCAATGTGTCAGGGAAAAGGATATAACTCAGGAGAAGACAAGCTTTTAGTCCGTTCAAAACATAATCTATAGCAGATACATCTCAGTAAGAAACACATGCAGTTTAATGCATCAGTGCTATGGTGAGAAAAGAACAAAGTACTGGGGTGGCACCCAGTCGGGATACCAGGGTAAAGATCAAGAAAAGTTTGATGAGCTATGGTTGAAAAAAAGATACTTGCTGATTGAGCACATGTGGAGATGATGCAGAGGCAGGATTGCAGATCTCTTACTTCCACAAGAGGAATATTTCTGTTAACTAATACGTTACAGTGGAGAGAGAGACAAGTTTTAAGAAAAAAATAAGCTTAATTTTGAGTTGAGCCATTTGCACTGGGGAGACCTCTGGTGTTGACATCCAGAAGGCAATTTAGGATGCTTGGCTAGAACTCAGGAGAAGGAAGCACAGAGTTAGGCTGAGCATTTTCAGTCTATTCATGGCTTTCTTAAGCCACAAGAGTGGATAAGGTTTTGATTAAGAGATAGAGTAAAAACAAGAATTCTCCAGAGCTTTGGAGGCAAACCAGGACAGTGAGGTGTCATGGGGATTGGAAAAGAAGAAGAGTGTCCCTTTTACTTTAGCAATTGGGAAGATTTGGCATCATTCATAGCAGCAGTTTCCCTGTATGTGACAGAGATGAAAACAAGACTTCTATGAGAAGGAAATATAAATTGTAAATACAATAAATTCGTTTGAGATTTGTAGAAGAGAAGAGAGATAGAAGTAGTAGAACCTTTTTTTTTTTTTTTGCTTTTTTTGGAGGGGAGAGGAGGAGGAAGGGGTTTTAGGAGGGAACACATTTAGGATGGAATACCTTTTTCAATGCTAGTAGAATTACTAGACAATCAGAAGCTAAATACACAGATAAGAAAGTAGGATGGCTAACAGTCCCCGTCTCCAAAGAGGTGAGATGAAATGAATTATTAATATACAAATGGTGCATTTGGCTTCAGGTATGGGAGGAAACAGTTCTTCCATGCAATTATCAAAAGAGAAAAGCATTAAAAAGTGTGCTCGCATGCAGTTACACAGATGTGGGTGGGGGTGAAAAGGAGAGCTTGAAACTTGTGTATCTGGAAATTCATGAGGACAAAAGATAATGTGAGTTATTTGTAAAGAGAGAAAGTTCTCTGAGGGGGATTTGTGAGCAGAGCAAGGGCTTAGCTGAAGTCAGATGCGATATATTTATGGTGTCATTAAGCTGTGTCATTGCACAATTCTCTCCACCAGAGCTCTTCAGGCCAGGTGAAGGCATAAAGACAGAAGATCTAGGTTTTGACACGCATGTCAAAGGGAAAAGAAGTGGGCAAGGTTGTTGAGAACAGGTATACTCTGAAATCTACGCTGGACTGAGATTTTGGGGTAAGAATTTGAACATGGAGAACTTAAGGGGCTAAAGGCCCAAGGGAAAACAAGTAAAGCTATAATGAAAATGAGTGAGAAATTGAGAAGGACACAGTAAGATAGTGAAATATTTAAAATGAATACTGAGGAGGTACAGCTTTCTGACCCCTGATTATGTTGTTTTAAAAATTGAAGTACATTTTTTGTCAAATTTTAATTTTACCATATATTTGGTCATTAAAATCATCTTTGTTGAAGGTATAAAATTTGAGATTTGAATAGCATATACATATAAAACTATCGTCACATACTAATTAACACATCACTGAGATATTTTCTTTCTTTTTAGTAACAGATACTTACATTTTCTTTCATTTTTTGTTTCTTTTTGGTGAGAATACTTAAGATCTATCTTCCCGACTACAGTCAGTGTGATTGACTATTTTTGTAGAACAATGTCAGGGTTGAGTAGTTCAGAGATTCTTCAGTGCACAAAGGCTAAAGTATTTATACAGACCTTCACAGAAAATAATATTTTCCAATCCCTGGTGTAGAAGTCTAGTTACCTAATAACTCATATAGTGTGCACAATGGTGATAATCTTGATAAAGATAATAGCTAGTGAGGGTCTGCTTACCAGGAGGTAGGCATTGTGCCAAGAACTGCTATGTGGATTATTTCACTTAAAATCTTCACAACAGGCACCGATTTAGAAGAAGGAAATTGAGGTGAG